ATCTCGAAAAAATACTACACTATACTGTTTTGTACTTAAAATAAAACTTCTTGCTTTCCCATTCCTTCTTTTAATATGCAATTAGAAAGGACCACAAATTAGTTACAGCAGAATAAGTTTTTAATTATTTTGCTTCGCCCCTGATCCTTACGAAAAATATTTCTTATAATATTTTATAAGTATCTACATAAACATTTCATACTCCGTTGTGTATGTATATACCGTTATAGTATATGCAAATTTTAATTTGCTATTCTTTTTTTTACTCATACAATTACAGTTTATCTAAATACATACATATTACTTTTGTATATTTAGTAAGAATGATGATGTGAATAAATTAAGAACAACCTTAATAATTATTCATTTAATTTCTTTTCTTTGAATTATGAATTTCGAAATTTTGCAAAATTCCAATGATTAACAGAAAGAATATCTATACATTTCTATAGCTACGTAACACATGTACAGATTATAATAATTAAATAAGCGAAATATGAACATTGTATTTTAGTTACAGCAAAAATTTTAGATCATATACAATTAACATCATATACAGGGATTGCTAACTTAAAAATTAATTATTCAGGAGTCTTATGGAACTTTCCAAAAAAATGTACGTACGTCACTAGTTGTGTGCAAGACAGAGCACTACTGGTTAAGTGTTATAGTATGTTAAGATTATTCGAATTGTCAATATAAGCCTTTCATAATATTTATGATATACAAATCTTATGGAAATCTAAATAGCTCCATAGTTTTTGAAATTACATAGGTCTGATGCAAAAAGATTTATATTATAGTGTTTTGCAATTCTTCACCATTGCATTCATAATTAACTGACATAATGCAATTAATCGCTTCGTAGGATAAATCACTCAATCTTTTTAAATTTATAAATTTTGTGGTGCAACAGTTAACTTCAATAAATCAGTCAATAATGTTCTGATTAAGACCTTTTGGGATCGATTTTTGTTCTTAATTACTTGTTTCAATTGTACGTTCCTATTATACCATTTAAGTACACTTTTGTTTTCAAGCTCTTCGCATAATAGCCTTTGGATAAGGTAAAGGAACTTAGCAACAATTCAATCTTAATTTCAACTTCATTGTTATAGAAGAATATTGTGAATTGAATATTAATTTTGTTGACTATTGCAAGACTTGAAAACGAGGGAATATCCCGATACTTCTTAACATTTTACAGAATATTTATTTTGGTACGAATGACTGTAGATGCTGACTTTAATTGTTTATAAACGATGAGAAAATCTTAATAGTAAAGTAATTAGCCAGAAGAGAAACTATTCTACTACTCACATAATTTATGCATTCCGTCCTTTATTTTGATTAAAAAAATGAAAAAAAAAGAAATATCTTTGAGGAAAATGAAAATGAAAATGAAAATAAAAAAATCAATAATTTCAAAGAATGAAACAGATGACTAAAAGCTTTCCCTTGTATTTTAGTAAATTTTGTGTATCTTCATGCAAGAAACGTAAACAACGTCCAAATGTTAAATTTATTACTTATACACTTACATATGCATGTATGTGTGTTGTTAGGATATGTTCCATTTTTTTTGTTTCCACTTACTCATTCACATATTATTAGAAAATTAACATGTATAAGTAAAAAATGTGTATACTTTGCCTATTTCAATTGAACAGTCATGAAGCGTAAGGTCAAGAGTGCGAAGAGAATAGGAACAGCAAATTTGTGTTATATACTGTACATGTATATTTGTGTATACTAAAGCACACAATATTTTAATGTTGATATAATTTTTGTTATGTGTAATTTTGAAAGTTTTGGCGTAAAGCGTAATGAAACAAAAAACACACTTACTACCCTTTTTATAGAATTGAATCATTTCTTTATGGCAAAAAATAACAAGCGAATGTGACCACGTATTTCAATATTGTATACCATATTTACGACATAATATAACAGTTATTGTATATGTTTAAGTTTTATATGTATTTGTATGTTTTGTCTGAGATTTTTCAGAAAACAGAAAAAAAGTGTTTTATATAATCTTTTTGCTAAAAAATTTGACAAATAAAAAAAAAGGCTTTTCAAACCCTGTTCCGAATATTTTGACTGAGGGTAACTTTTTGTGTTTATTTCACACAGATGCATGTGAACAGAATACTTATGTATGGAGATGCCAAATTGACATATTGTATATTGTACGTTTCTACTTATATGCATACAAACATATGTATTTTATATATGACTATGCAAAAGTGTTGAATAAAATTAAGAATTTAAATTTTTTGTTCATTTATAGTTTCGTATAATATGTATATTATACTTACATAATAATATACACATATTGTACATCTATGTATAAATTAAAATATAATAATACAAAGGATAAATATATATACAAACACGTATATGTGTACATATACATTAAAATTGGGGTTGAGCTTTATTGACGCTGAATACATTGAATTTTTATTACAATAAACTAAATAGATTTTTATGAAAATTTTTAAAATCATCAATAATTATGAATATAATGTATGATTGGGTGTATGTAAGTTTATTTCAGGGATGGGATTCGTTTATATTTGATTGAATATGAGCTATATATCTTATTAAGGACGATAATTATTGTTAAGGATGTTGTTTTATAACGAAAATTTAATCCTGTTTGGTGAAAATTTGTTAAATAAATTATCGTACAAAAATTAACGTCCACACGTTCAAATGAAATATCACATACGTTGGTACACACCTGAAGAAATAATCAGAAACATCAAAAATGTAGTAAGCGCCATAGCAAAACAAAAAAATTACTTTTACATTATTTATATACAGTTTGCATGAAAAACAATTTTTCACAAAGTTTTTTTCACAAAAATGCTGCAGCGTCTATAAGAAAAGTTATAAAATAAATTAACACATACATTCATATGCATATACATATATACATAAATTATACGAAATATAAACGTATAGCTTAGAAACTCTTTTTTGGGAAGACTTGATATTAGAATAATTCGATATTTTACGATGAAACTAACTATTGTAAAATATTGAGAGTGAAAATTTCAACAGCGTTAAAGATCTACACATATCACAGATTTACCACCCCTGATATATTGTAAAAAAATATGTAAATATGTGCTTACAAGAAAGTAGAATTAAATTTAAAGGAATAAATGCAAGAAAAAGTCATTAACGGGAAAGGGGTTGGGTAAATAAAATTCGAAGAAAATGGAAAATGTTTGAGTTGAATATACTTGTGAATTTTTATTAATATTTTGAATTAGAAATTCAAATATTAAATAAATTTTTTTAATTTAGCGATTTTGGAAAAAATTTATATTACTCATAGACATATGGATACTTTTAAACTGCGATGTGAATATATTAGTATGTATGTGTTCACGCATGTAGTTATTTTTTTATATATTTTGTGAATATCCCAAATTTCCTTCTGAATTGCTTCAATTTTTCTTTTTATTCAATTTAATTTAATGAAAGGAATAAATGAGTAACATTTGTATAATAATATTTGCTTATCATTATAATTTCATTTATAAACCTGCATAAAAGTTCTTACGGAATATTATAGGAAAGTAATTTTCAGCATAGTATATTAAAGTTTAAGCACATGATATTTGTATGTAAAATTTTACTCGAAAAAGAAACCTAATTGTTTCTTTCAACAAATTACAAGATGCATTCGGAAACATCAGGCATATTATATTAGACGTGTTCCATGGAAATATTGCATGAGATGACATTAGTATAACGTCTGGGTCCTTTATTGTTGTTATTGTAGCAAGATTACGATGATTCGCGTCATTTGCTGAAAAAATGATTTTGCCCGTTTGTAATTCAGAATTCTAATTTATTACAATTTCCCTAATTTCTTTACATTTTCGTTTCAATAATTATGAGGCTGACAGACAGGTAAACGAAAAAGTTGGATAGATCTAATTAGAAAGAGTTCAAGTACTATTGGTTTTTACTAGGTATTTCATACAATGCAAGAAATTTTAATTCATAATATTTAATATATCAAAAAACATACAAACTAATAGATAATATCGAAATATAAAAAAGACAGCAATTTAAATTGAGAATATTCTGAAAAAATGATAATTGAATTTTTCTCTCATTCTAAGTTCTAAATAGTTCAAAACATTAGTGAGATTTTCTACTATACGCACACACATATACGCTCAAATTTAAAAGCTTATAGATTTTTTTACTACGACTTAAAAATCATCTCTTTGTGAATGTAAAATTTTTCTTAATAGTAAATTATTAAAGCTTTACTAAATTAGGTGTTTGTGAATAAATTCTTAATGTACGTATGTACATATGTGTACGTATGTATATATTTTACACAGGTACAAAGATTTTGTGATATTTTTTACAAAAACGCTTGTACTATGTATTTTACATTATTAAATAGAAAATTTTAGAATAGAAGGAAATCGAAGCTTGCAAAACACAAAAATAAAGCTTTTGGATTTTTTTTTTCGAAAATGAAATCTATTAGAAATGTTCTTTATGAATTTGTGTGCGTGTGTGAAATAGATTATGTTTTACTTTTCTATTCAATAATCTTACTGAATGTCTCTATTCAATATTCTTAGTGAATTTTATAATATCCTCTCATGAACAATAAAATGTTATCGACATTCATGTGGTTCAAATTTTTTAACAAATTTTGCTACGACTTAAAACGTTTGGTTTTAGATAGAAAGACGCCTAGTCTTATGAATCCTATATGACATCCCATGAAATTAATATATCGAATTGAATATAATTATTACGACAATAATTAACAATCTATTATACTCAAATATTACAAAAACTTACGAAAAAATTTTTAAGTTATAATTACTGGAAAACTATCAGGAAAAAACATACTTATTTCCAATAAATTTACAATGAAAATATTTTAAAGTTTACATTACTTATGTTCAAATTATATTTTGAACTAATTATAAACAATTTTTTCAAACACTTACCTTCAAATCACAAACAAAAATTTTAATTCTTTACGAAAACTAGTCATTTGTTCTTTTAAGAATCTGAAATAAACAAAAGGGAAATATTTCTTTAGTCACAATTTTTAATAATTAAATATTAGTTATAAGAATATACTGAATTAAAAAATTAATTAGATTGAAGTACTAAGGAATTTTCAAAGCAAATCGAATTGAATTTCAATTTTAACACAAAAGTATTGAAATGGATTAAAATAAAAATTACTATTAGTAATGATTTTAGTAATGTTGTACTTAAAAAGAGTATTTATTGAATTCTTATCAAAAATCTCGATGTATTAAAAGACAGGATACGAGTACTGTTTAATAGTTGGTATGAGACTAATTCATTGCTAGACTGAACAATTTATTTTGTCAAATTAAAGCAAAGTTGTATTTTTTCTCCGAATTTCCTCTATCCTATTTAATATTGCTGAGTGCTTTTAAAAATTAATTGATTTATTTACTAATATTAGGATATATTTTTTAAATGTATTTTTAATATTTAATATGGTCATTCTATACACTCTGTAATTTTTGATATATTTAATAGAAAATCTGAGACTGGTTCTCTTTCGTATTATAATGTCCATCAACAAACATGGTTACTCCCAGTTGTTATTTACAAAAATTATTTTACTCGTAATTTATAATAATAAAAAAAGAATTTCAAATTTAATAATACAATTTCTTAAAATTTGCAAATTTTTGAAATTAAAGTTATTATTGCATACATTTAGGAGAACAATGTTAAAAGGATTAAAAGGAGTCATAATGCAATAGTTGAGTTATAAATGGACAAAACGATCTTATTTTTGTTGATCAGAATTTTTTCATATTTACATTTGCCTTTGTTATTTCCTGCTTGAAAAAGGACCGTAATCGCTTTTTTCGAATTTAACAAAGATATAAAAATTTTGTTCTTGAGAAATTAGTATGCGATGTCCTCATTATTTTTTAAATTTTTAACTACTTACAAAATTTTAAGTTGACTTCCATACAGTAAAGGCAGGCGAATGAAAAAAAGAAATTAATTCAATTTTATAAAAAATATGTTAAGAAATTAAAAATATCAACAAAAATTCTTTCATAATACTTAATTAATTAATTGGACTTTTCAAGTGATTCCTATAACATAGAATATACAAACATATACAGCAACAATAAAAAATTTCAATTTTTATACTCACATGATACATAAATTACATAAATACAGTTGAATATATACATATATTTATAGTACATTGCTAATGTAATCTATACATAAACACATAATATGTACACGGGCACATGTACCATAATTATTACATATAAAAACAAATTTAATTGCTATTCTTTGTCTTCATACAAAAATATTAAACCTAGATTTCTTCGTTTTGTTTACAATTTTTATAATAGGCACACGAGCCCCCCACTTTCGACGTAATAAAAATTTTGTTATTTCTACATAACTTGAGACAAAAAATTTAATTATAATTTTTTAAATTTTTAGTTTTTTCTTTCTTTTTGTTGTGTTTCTTCTATTTTGTGCGTTGTTGTGTTAAGTTTTTATATCTCAATTTTTTTTTGGAGACGAATGACGCTGACCAGTGACCACATTGTTGATAACTATGAGCATTTCTCAAATACATAAATATGTATATGTATTATGGTTAAGTATATATAAAAATAAACAAATTAATTACAAAATTACATATTACATAATTGAATTCCATTTTTTATATAAATACCTACATTCATTCATTTAGGTATACACATGTAATTAAAAAAAATTTTTTGGGTTGAAATTAGAAATGGGAAAACAAAAATTTCTAACCTATACACATTTTTTTACTTGTCAATACAACATTAAAATTATTGTGTAGGCAGAAATTCTCATTGAATCTCAATCTCATCATAGACCTCATATTAGGCTCATATATGTATATAGTATTACATATATAATGTAAACATGCATATAAACAGTTATATATATGTAAAATTAGAAACTGTATCATTCCTAAAAATTTGATTCGAAATTTCTAGTAGAATACAAAAAAAATTTCCGAAATCGATATTTGTGCGTCAACACAAAATACAATAATAAAAATAAGCCGAAAAAATTAAAATCTAATAATAACGGTAATGATACATACATAACGTATATATACAATATATGTATTATTTGGGTATTCGTTACCCAAATGTACATATGTTTGTATATTGGACGTATACGTATACATACATAAAAATTTCCAAAACAAAAACAAATAATTTTTTTTTAGGTTCTTCTTAGGTTCGTTTTTGTTTTGATTTGGTGAAAGTAACGGTATTAAAATAAATATAAATATAAATTTGTATAATGTATATGCATGTACGTCGGTATACTGACATTTTTACACACACATAAACATGCTCATATTAAATTTTCTTTGACTACATTTTGTTGCGTATATAATGAAATATATTTGAAGTTCCAAAAGTGTCCGAGGTCAGGAGTTGTTTTTATTATTGTTTTGTTATCGTTTTACATATTATATGTGTACATATATTTTGTTAATTTATTTTCTTTTTTTCTATATTTTTGTTTACTTGTATTTTTGTTTTTTTTTTCTTTTTTGCAGATAACTATTGACGTCGTCGCGAAATTAGATTTTTCTTTTACTTTCTTTTTTCATTTTTTTTATTTTTTTTATTAATGTTGTTTTGGGAGGCTTTTTTTTATGTATATATAATTGTATGTACACAAATAATAAGTAAATTTATAAATTGTGTAGAATAAAATATAATTTTCATTCACATAAACACAAATCAACATAAATCTACACATAAAACCAAAATATACTATGAAAATAGTAACAATAAAGAATAAAGAAGAAAAGGAATACACAAAAATCCAATGACGACAACTGTTTCCAAAACTTTCACAAAAAAAAAACCATAAAAAGAAACAACAGAATCACTAGATTGGGTTTTTAAAGAAGCACGTTTTATCGGATAATTTGACAATTCTAGAATTTTATGGGTGAAAATGTAAGGAAACAAGTTCTATTTGCAAAAATTATTTACTTATAGCCAAATTTTATTGCATAGTTTTTGGAAAATTAATATAGTTATGGAATTAATTTTAAAGAAATGTTTTTACAATAAGTTGATATTTAAAATAGTTTAAGTAATTTAACGTGCTACTGCAAATTTCAACTGGTCTTAATTGAGTAGGCGTTTTACAATTCAATCAAAACTGAAATTGATATTTAAAATTACAACTCATTTGAATTTTTGATTTTGACATTACATTTCGTAAATTTTAATTTTTTATTTCCTCACTGTTAAACATTTTTATAAATCTTAATTACTAAAATCAGATTGGCACGAAATTTAAAAAATTTCAACTAATTCAAAAATGACTACTACACTTATTGTTTAAATTTGTCAACTTTAATCAAATGTCAACCGCAAATTGAGATCCACGGCAGCACCTTCATAAATGATTATAATTCTCGATTGGAAGAATATTGTAGAAAAATAACCAACTGAAAATTTAAATGGAGTTAAAATTTGAGATTTTAAAAGCAAATCAAATCTTGAAATGTGTTAAAACCATAAAAATCTATTTTTCAAACTTTATGGTCATAGGATTTTTTGACAATACATATAAACGGAGTAGAGATGTATGAAATTATTGTGTATGCTACATCGTGCTGATATTGATGATTTTATCTAAAAACATGTAAAAACGTTTCAGTCGGTATAAACCGATTGAATTATACCCTGCACCTTTCGTTGTTGTATAGCAATTACTCAAACCTGTGAAACCATTCTATAGAAATTTCACGGATATGTCTGATTTATAACTGGACACACAACTGCCAAGTTTCATGAATCTGACTTTATTTTTCCAAATATTTAAACTTTTGGCTGTAGCTGTAGAGCAATTCAACGAAAACTTCAGAAATATATCTGACCTATAACTCAACATACAACTACCAAGTTTCATGAATCTGACTTTATTATTTTTCCAAATATTTAAAATAAGCTTTTGGAGTTGTATGGCAAGTACCCGAACCTGTCAAGCAATTCCATCAAAACTTCAGAAATATGTCTGACCTATAATTGGACACACGACTGCCAGAGCTCATGAATCTGACTTTATTATTTTTCCAAATATTTAAAATAAACTTTTAGACTTGAATGGGAGCTACTCGAACCTGTCAAGCAATTCCACCAAAACTTCAGAAATATATCTCACCTATAACTCGACACACAACTGTCAAGTTTCATGTATCTGACTTTATTATTTTTCCAATTATTTAAAATTAGCTTCTGGAGTTGTATGGCAGGTACCCGAACCTGTCAAGCAATTCCTCTAAAACTTCAGAAATATATTTGACCTATAATTGGACACATGACTGCCAAGTTTCATGAATCTGACTTTATTATTTTTCCGAATATAAAAAATTTGCTGTTGGAGTTGTATGGCACCCACCCGAACCGGTGCAGCTATCCCATTATAATTTTTAGAGCATGTGTAGAATATAATTGGACACATATATACAAAATTTTTTATTTATACCCTTATTAGTTTTTGAAATATTTAAAATAAACTCTTTGAGTTGTATGGCAGCTACCCGAACCCGTTGTCCGAATTAGTCCAATAACAATAGGGCTCGTCCTTGGCACAAAAGAAAAAACTTGTGAAAGTTTGGTGTCGATTGCATTATTCGTTTTTGAGTTATCGTGCGATCGGACGGACGGACGGACGGACAGACGGACATGTCTAAATCGACTCAGAATTTTACGCTGAGCAAGAATATATATATATGTCCATACCGCAGATGACTCCTTCAAGTAGTTACAAACTCCATACCAAAGTTAATATACCCTTCACGAAGTGCAGGGTATAAAAAAGGACGGATGATATAGTTGTCCTGGTGTCTTATGTAATAGAAAAACCTATGTTTATATTGAGTACGCAAAAATTATAATATATTAAGATTATATACGTACATATGTATATATATGTATAAAGTCTGGATTGATTATAATCTATTTAAATGCCTACGCAT